TTAATTTTTATCATTTAATTGTTTTAAGATTTCTTTTTTAAAGTTATGAATATACATACTATGTCTTGTGTGGGTATATTCATGTGAGTGCAGTGTCCATGCAAGTGAGAAAAGATTAGCATTGGAGCCCCTAAAGCTGGAGTTGTGTGCCTTAAGCTGCCCACTGTAGGTGCTGGAAGCCAAAAAGATGCTGGGCGTTGGTGGCTCATACCTTTAATCCCAGCACTTGGCAAGCAGAGGCAGGTGTATCTCTGTGAGTTTAAGGCCAGTCTGGTCTACAGAGTGAGTTCCAGAATAGTCAGAGCTATTACACAAAGAAACCCTGTCTCGAGAAAAAAAAAAAAAAAAAAAAAAAAAAAAAGCTCACATGCCTTCTGGCTGCTATGAGGTGAACAGTTTCTCTCTTCCACATGCTTCAGCTATGATAGTTCCCTTCACTAAAGGCCCAAGGCAATGTGGATAAGCAACCAGAACTAAAACCCCTGAAACCATGAGCTAAAATAAATTTCCTTCTTTTATTATTTAAAAACAAAACAAAAAACAACAAACAGACGAGGGGGGAGAGACGGACAGAGAGAGAGAGAGAGAGAGAGAGAGAGAGAGAGAGAGAGATTAAACATTGAGCCATCTCTCCAGGCCCCAATTTTTGTCATTTTGTGATGGTCATAGCAAAAATAATGTTCAGTACTGTATAAACACTAGGTAGTTAGAATAAATGTGAGTGGAACAGGGTCTTTGAATGACATTACTGTATAAGGGGAATTCAGCTACTAGATCAAGGGATGAAGAGTGGGTACCAGAAGGTGCAGGATATGACTTAGAGCACGAATATGTATTAATTAGTATTTTATAAGTTTACTATGTGTGTGTGTTGGGGAATCAAACCTAGAACTAATGCAGCTAAGTATCTGAGGCTCCAGCAAGTTCAATCTCCAACAAATGTTGGTTCTTTCTCAGACTTGGTAAGAAGTCAATTCTCATTGGTTAGTTTTACTAAGGTATATTGCAAAATGACCCGTAGTCAGTAAGGTTAAGATATCTCTATTTAGATAAACACCAGACAAATGCAAGCTAGAGCTTGCCAGGGACAGCAAGGCAGGCAGGCCAGAGAGAAGGGCCCCCATGTGCCTTGCAGCCCCTTAAAAACCTATCACTCATCATCCTGATCTCACCTTGACCACACCCTGACAGGTGTGGTCAGGCACACCTGTAGCCAGCCCCCAGGAGGCGTGGTTTATGGTGTCTCCCTACAATGGTGCTGTTTTTTGTTCTGATTTGATTTGATTTGTTCGAGACAGGGTCTCGAACTATGTAGCCCAGGCAAGCCTGAAAGACCCTGTAATCCTCCTGCTTCAGTCTTCCAAATCCTAAAACCATAGGAATGTGTCATTATACCAAGCTTCTAATGTATATTGAATGAGATGTCTAGGTCATAAAAGTTTTAAAGTATATTGGTATAAAAGTGTTGTTGTTGATTTTTAACCTTTATTTTATTACTTATGTAATGTGTGTGTGTATGTGGGCACATGTGCATATGTAGAAGACAGAGGACAACTTTCAAAAGTGGGTTGTCTTTCCACTATGTATGCCTGGGGGTAGGGGGATTGACTCAGCTCATCAGGTTTTGGCGAGAAGGGGCTTTATCTACTGAGCCATTTCACTGGCCACTCAGAGTTGCTGTTTTGAGACAGGGTCCTATATGTAGTTCTACCTGCCCCTGAACCTATAATCCTCCTGCTTCAGGCTCTGTGTTGGGATAACAGGTGTATGTCACATCTAGCTTAGACTTTGGTTATATCTCCTTTTTTCATTGCTAGTTTTTAATTTGTCTTTTGATGAATCTTGCCCCCCCCCACCCTACAATCTGATTAGCTTTTTAGAGAACAGATTTTTTTTTTTTTCAGACAGACTCTCACTATTTAGCTCTGGCTGTCCTGGAACTTCAGAGGTCAACCTGCCTCTCTCTGCCTCTGCCTCTGCCTCTGCCTCTCAAGTGCTGAGATTAAAGGTGTGAACTATTGTGCTTGGCTACATTTTCATTTTCTTTTATCTTTTAAAAAAATGTGCATTGGTGTTTTGCTTGCATGTATGTCTGTGTGAAAGTGTCAGATCCCCTTAAGCTGGAGTTAGACAGTTGTGAAGTCCCACGTTGGTGCTGGGACTTGAACCTGGGTCCTCTAGCAGAGCAGCCAGTGCTCTTAATCACTGAGCCATCTCTCCAGCCCTGTATTTTCATTTTCAATACTGATTTTATACTTCTATTTTTATTATTTCCATACATCTTTTATTGAGTTTACCCCACTTTCCACGATTTCTTTGAATAAGTTCATCAGCTTTCAGTCCTCTAATTTCATTACATCTGGGACCTTTTGTCTCTTTCTTCCTCTTTCTCTCTCCCAGACGGAATCTTACTATATATAGCCCATGCTAGCATAAATCTCATCCTCCTCCTGCCTCAACCTCTCAAATGTTCAAATGCTGGAATTACAGTGTGAACCACCATGCTAAGCTAAATGTGGGAACTTCTAATAACTGTGTTAACTTAATTTTATTGAGTTCAGAGAAAATGGTTTATGTGACTGTATTTCTTTGATAGCTACTGTACAGTTTAAGACAAGGGTTCTTTTTGGCTCTAGGTCTGTTTGAAGGGATATATTTACTGTTTGGGGGCAGCAGAATTCTAAGAAAAATGTATGTCATGCTTACTAATATTTAAATTTTCTAAAGCCTTACTCAATTTTAAGTCCTTTTTAAAAAGCATTGTGTGTGTGTGTGTGTGTGTGTGTGAGAGAGAGAGAGAGAGAAAGAGAGAGAGAGAGAGAGAGAGAGAGAGAGAGAGAGAGAACATCATGGCATGTGTGTGGAGGTCAGAAGGTCTCTCCTTCTACATTTATGTGGGTTCTGATGCAGACCAAATGCCTTATCTACTAATCCACATCCCTGGCCTTTTTAAAGGTCTACCTCTATCTATTAGAAAAACAAGAAAATGGACCTGGTATTTTCTATTGATTTCTTGCTTATTTTTCTTGTAATTCTGTTAAGTTTTGCTTCTAATAAGTTTTCTTTTTATGTACCTATAAGAATTCATTTATAGTCTAGTAAAACTAGCTTTTTAATATAGTACTTTTTATTGGTTATAATGCTTCTTGCCTTAAATACCATTTTGTCTGCTATTAATGTGGCCAGAGCTGTTTTCTACTGATGATCATCAGTTCCTATTCTGCTTTCTAGTTTTGTGAGTTTTATGTAGCTCATCTAGAGAACACATAGTTTGATTTTACTGTTTAATCTACCTCCATGTTTTAGTTGGCTACTTTAGTATTAGGGATTAAACCTAGGACTTCACATATGCTAAGCAGGTATCTGCAATTGAGCATTGGCCCATTTATTACATTATTTTGAGGCGAGGTCTTACTAAATTGCCCAGTTTAGCCTTGAATTTACAGCTTTTTTTTGCCTCAACAGTCCCAGTAGCTAGGACTACAGATCTAGCTTGTTTTTGTTTTCTGAGACAAAATGTTACTATGTAACCCAGGCTGGCCTTCAATTCCTCCTGTCTCAGATTCCCAAGCACTGGGATCAAAGAAATGTAGCATCACTGTGGCCTGTTTGCTTTTTAAATGACTCTATCCACCCACTTTTATGCTTCTATTGGACTGATTGTTTTACTAGGTTTTCACTCTTCTAATTTGGCAATTATTACTTATATTCCTATTCAAAGTTTCTTCCTAAATTAGCCCCCACCACATTTACATTTGCATTTTAAAGGGTGTGTTTGTATTTATTGAAAAACAATGACTCTGTCCTTAACTCAAACATTGGGTATACTAGAAAATTTTTTACTAAGAATATTCTCTTTTTTAACATAACAACTGAAGACTCTAGTGTGTCCACTATATTAACAATTCACCATACCACAGTTAGCAACAACCCAAGCTTCAACTCTGCAAACCATCCCTCTGTAAGGAAACACTTTCTTGCAGTGCTTCACAGCTGAGGGAACTGTATAAACTGCTGTGTACCTCAGGACACTGAGACACTATGGTCCCTGCCAAACTGGTGCCAGCAGGTACCCTTTTTCTTCAACAGACAATTCAAATCACAGACAACCCAAATGATCCCATGCTTTGTTTCTAAACACTGTGTCTATGTCACAATCATTCCAAATAAGAACTGCTTTTTAATGCATGAAGATAAAATTTAAAAACTACAAAATAAATACCTTCAGAATCAAAGGACCAAAGAATGAGGAATATTTTTGTTTCACATAGGAAATAAAAATACTTTCCCTTATATTTTCCCCTATTTTCTTCTTTATTTTTGCAGTGGTGGACCCATGCAGGCTAGAAAAGCTCTCTGTCACTGATATATACACCCTTATTTCCAAAATCTTCAGTTTTAATACATGACTAAATGTAATAAAAGGAACCCAGGTTTGGTTTTGTTTGTTTCTTCTCCTTCTCC